TAATGTCCTAGGTTCAATTACTCTGGCAAACACAGGAACGGATCTCAGTCTTGACACTATAATCCATGTCTCACAAACAAAGACTCAGAAGGGCCAGACAGCCCCTCACAGGGTCAACACTGCCCTTTCCAGCTCAGCCACAGTCAAGCAAGGGGTGGTGTTGGCAAGATGTCTACCCCCTGCCCCCAAGCTATCTGCTGGACCCTAGGCTCTAGGAACAAAAGCACTATAAAAAGACTTCTGGTTTCACTAAGACACATTAAAGAATTAATTATAAAGTAAAGCTGAGGGAGAAAATTAATTTTAGAAACACAAGAGGTTACTTTTTTTTCCTGGAGATGGGGGAGGAAACAGTTATTTTCGTTTTCATCCTAGGGGCACAAGCTGGGAGCTGTCCAGTCGATAACCTGGCCATCAGAACAAGGTTTGTAATTAAAAGGTCAGTGACCTGGAAAGCCAGGGCCCCACTCCCAGAGCTTCTCAGTAATGACGGAGCTATTAAATTAAGACTGTTATGAAATCAATGCTAAAAAAGCTTTCATGGTAACGAGATTCCATTCAAGGACATGCAAACTACCTCATGAAATGGACGTAAATGATAAAAAAAAAAAAAAGTAATAAAAGAGAATTAAACTGAAATCTGTGTTAGAATTTACTCCCCCTTAAAAGACTCCAGTGAGAGAAGCCCTTCACCTCTAACCTACAACCAAGGTCAAGACTGAAACCATCAGGTTTCTTCTTCAAGTTCATTTCTCCAAGGAATGCTTTGCTATGAGGGTTCAGCATCCAGGAGCAGAGGGTAAGGGAGTACGGTGGTGTGCTTCCGAATTAAACTGAAATCTGTGTTAGAATTTACTCCCCCTTAAAAGACTCCAGTGAGAGAAGCCCTTCACCTCTAACCTACAACCAAGGTCAAGACTGAAACCATCAGGTTTCTTCTTCAAGTTCATTTCTCCAAGGAATGCTTTGCTATGAGGGTTCAGCATCCAGGAGCAGAGGGTAAGGGAGTACGGTGGTGTGCTTCCTTGGTTTATTACCTCCCCTACCCAGGACTACTTACTGAATGGAAGAGAAAAAAATCCCTTTACTGACACACTTGAGAAGGGCACAGGATATGTCAGGCAGCAGCACCCTGGCCAACTACACAGGATCATGCAGAAAAACTTGGCAGCTATCTGTTTCTAGAAGCTTGGTTTGGAGAGACATTAGGGTGGTCAACTGACAACTCTGCCCCACTTCTTCCTTCTCCCAGGCACAGGCATCATGCTTGCCCACCTGGTACTCGGCCTGCAGAGCACATCAGGAGGTAGACTGCCTCCTACATCTTACGTTCTGTGACTGGAGAGGGTGTCAAATCAACACCAGCCTATGAACAGTGACCTCCAATCCTCTAACTTTCTGGACTGCTTCTGTCACTGTTTTCAAGGGCCTCTGGCATCCTGGACTGCAGCTACCGAAAGTCCCATATATCACTTGCCTGCCTGTCAAGAAAAGCTCCTACAGAGAGCAGGCCTATGAGGGCCTAAACCCCACACAGACTAACTATGTCATATGTGGCTGACGCCACAGTGGATGTGTCGTCTGCACAATCAAGTGGCTGGACACGAGACAAAAACACTCATTCTAATATTCTGAAGGTAAACAGTTGCTTTTCTCTTTCATTCCCCCCTCAAAAAATCCTGATAAAAGGAAGAAACACTGTAAATTACACAAAATGGCAGCACAAACTTCAAAGAAAATGATAAATGATTCTAATAACTTCATGTTTCTCATTAATGACTCCATATTCAGACTTTAAAGCATCTAAAAGAGATCTCAAACAGAAAACAAAAGCACCAAACAAGACAAACCCCTGAAGTCGATGCTCACCCATTCATTCCCCCGTCCACTCCCCTGTCACCCCCATCACAGAGCCAACACTTAACCTGTCAGTATCAGAGGCAGGATGCAGCCCCAAGTCGGGGCTGTGGTTTCACAATAAAACAAACTCAGCTGATGTGCCTAAAGTAACCCTCATTTTCCACCGAACTGACATGTACTACAGGGACCTCAATTTCTATATTAAATATTAAATAATATTAAAAGAAAAACAAAATTAGATTTGCCTTTTCAGGAAAGAGATGTTTATTAAAAAAAAAAGAGAGAAAGTCAAGATTATAATTCAAGTCAGTGCTCCACTACAATTCCCTGAAGTGACATTTGCTAGGAAAAGCCAAGCCTACAGTAGATGAGCGCTCTCCCAAAGCCAGCGCCCCAAGCCCCCATTGCAGACCATGCAGGGAGACCAAGAGTGAGGGTGCCAGGGCCATCCGTGGTCCCTCCCCTCCAGCTCAGCAACCAGCAAGTCAACTCTCTGCTTCTGCAGCTACCGTGACGGATGGGTAGATGCTCCTCGCTGTCCCCATCAGAGATGGTGCCAAGCATGCTGATCATGTAAGCCTGACCCAAGGAATAGCGGAAATTAAAAAAGTGAAGTTTAAATCCACGAAGGGGCTTTTCTTCCCTAGACGCCAATCAAACCTTGGAATTTTCTGCCCAGAAAAGGTCCTGCCAGAACTTACCCTATTGGGATTCAACTCAGAAATGGATAATTACCAACTGAAGCAGCATTTTAAGGATAATGGAGATGGGTGATTAGCTTCAGTGATTCCGGGCTTAAGTACAGGGTAAACTAGTGTGGTTCTCTGTAGAGCAAGAAGACTTGGGTAGCCTCTCCTAGTTCCCAATGCCCAGAGTTCCAAAGACTTTAACCTAAAGTCCACTCTACCAGCAAATACTCATCTCTTCCACATCTCTGTGTACATGACACCCTGTAGTCCACCCACAGGCCTGGCACAGCTCTCCCAAGCACCCTGTTTCGTCTTCTCCGTGGCATCTGCCACCTGACATCCCATTTCCATTTGTTCAATGGACGTACCATCACCAGTTCCCACCCCATGGGAACAGAAGCTCTACGAGGACAGGGTCTTTGCCTTTTCTGTTTCTCAGTGAACTCCCAGTGGGGAGATAGGGCTTGGCACAGAGAAGATGCTCCCTCTTGGTGAGCTCACTAATTACTCAGTTGGGTTTCTTTTTTTTTTAAAAAAAAAAAAAAAAAAAAAAGAGCAACAAATCATAAATGCGTACAATAGTTCCCGCTTTAGTAGTTAGGAGCCAAGTGACTCAAAAGAAGTATTATTTGGTCCAGAGTTTTCCTCATTCTCTCTCTCTCTCTCTTTCTCTCCCTCTCCCAGTCAGGGATTTATTAAAATTAAACAGATTAGATGGAGCTCTTGATACTAAAACTGCTCAGCAAAGCCTGCGGTGGGGAAGTGCCGAGCAAACACCAGAGACATTTGTCTCTAAATTGCTCTAAATACCTTCTGCAAATGAAATTCTAACCCAGCTGCGTTTGAGAGAAAATGAGGACTAACTGGTCATTGTCGGTGGAAGAGAAGATCAGACAGTTATAATACTGCACAATATACTGGGCTAAGGATCTCTCGGCAACCATAGATTTTGTCTCAGGTTACCCTGGGTAATCAGCTCAGCTTTTAGGCTCAGCTTTCCCCTGCTTCAATGCTTTGATGAGAGCTGAAATCCCCAAGCTTTTATGATTAATTACTCCCCATAGGTATACATATTTGAAGAAAAAACTCTTTTATGGCATGATGCTTGTGGAGTGGAGAGGCTGGCCAACACACTCCAAATTCTAATAATCTCCTAATGATGGGGGCAAGCACCACGCAGCCAGCCAGCATGCATACACACAGCACCCCTCACAACCTCCTCATGAGGATCTGGCCTTGGGGCTGCTGCTAAGCAGCTGCCGTGTGTAAAATGTGTGGGCTTGTTACAAGCAACCCTGTGACAGAGGCCCTGGAACCACTGGGTACAAGTAGCATGGCCCTGGAGCACTGCTTCCGTGGGATGCCACAGATGCACTCTAGGAATTGCCACCCAAAGATTACATCGTGATCTGTTCCAAAAAAAAATGACGAAGGTGGGCATCAGGAGGAAGAGGCAGGCGGATCGAGGTGAATTCAAGGCCAGCCTGGTCTACATAGTGCATTCCAGGTCAGCTGGGACTACGGGGAGACCCTGTCTCAAAAAAAAAAAAAAAAAAGAAAAGAAAAAGAAAAAAGACAGGAACACCAGATTTTGAAAGCCAACATTCCAGATTTTAAAGAAAAAAAAGGTTTTGTTTTGAGGTAAAGAAAACTCACAACCCCCTCCCCTGTGTTATATTAAAACCTTTAAACATCTTCCTAGATATCTAGAAAATTAAATGTCCTAAGAATGAAAAGTCCAGTTTCTTTTAAGGTTGAATAGTCGTTTTCATTTTACAAACAAAAAGAAGGAAGGAAGGAAGGAAGGAAGGAAGGAAGGAAGGAAGGAAGGAAGGAAGGAAGGGGGAAAGAAAAAGAAAGAAATACGAAATTCCAAAACACCAGAATGGACTTCGCCTGCTTCAAACAATATTGCATTTGTCAGGATCTGTTTTATCCCTGATTACAGAAATACCATAAAACCAGTAATTTACCACTTCAATCTGTAAATCCAACTGACCCCTGGCTTGACCTTATTGTGACCTTGTTTATTCATCTCGTTTCCCCTGTCCTTTGCATCTCTCTGGCTCTCAGGGAAGCAATTCGCTTCCTAGCCCAAAGCCGTTATTCTAGAGTCACGGTTGCTGACAGACCAGCCAGAAAGCAGGAATCCCCCACAGTGTTACCCAATGGGCCAATTTGGCTATTGAATGCTGACTGTGCCATGGTGCCCTTGGCCTTGTATCTGGTGCTTAATTATCCAAATCCTGTAATCTCTCTACTCCATCGTTAGGAAAGAAGCCTGCATTCCTTTTGGGAGGGATGGGCACCGCACCCCAACCTCCCACCCATACACAAGTGGAGGGCCGTGGGTGGCCCCAGTTCTCAGCCTGTCACACTACAGTTTCCACCTGCCCCATCATCTCCAGCCCCTTTCTGCAGGCCCCTCTGCAGAGCCATGGGAACCTGTACCTTTCTTCTTAAGAAATGCTCTCCTGGTTGCAAGTGGGCTCTGCCGGACCCGAGAATTCTGTAGGAACTTCACTGCTGTGGCAATCTGGTAGGGGAGATAAAACAGAGCAAATTTCAATAATCTGAATTTCAAGGTGAAAAAATCCTGAGTTCCCAGGGCCACAGAAAGAGTATGCTGATGGGATCAAATGTCTAACAAGCTATTTCTGAAATCCACATAAATGTAAGACTAGGCCTCCTCCCTGTCTTCACTAGCTTCCTGTATCTGAGTGGATCAAATCTAATCTCCTCGGCCCAGCTTTTCAGACCTGTATTGAGCTTTTCCTGTCCTCCCAGTGAGAGCCGCTGCCTTACCATGCTCAGTTACCAGCCTCGTGCCATGCACACCCTCCCTCTGGAAGGCTTCCCTTTCCCGCCTCTACCTTTCTACACATTACACAGACACAGGCGCGTGCGTGACGCACACACACCACAGACCTTTTATAGCCTGTTCTGACTCCTCAAAGCTCTCCCTAAATAAGCAAGCCCTCTGATCTCCCTGTTCTCTTAAGTTCTTCAATGCTGTAGTGTGTAGCATATAATTGAAGACATAATTATACTGTCTTCTCATGTTCAGGCTGCCTCCCCAACTACACAGCAAGGAACCGCAGGAAGAGACTGTGCTCCCTGAACAGAGCCTGGCAGTGTACTGGGGCTGGAGGCAGATTGTAAAAGAGACACACACTGGCCCCTCCAATGCAGTAGAGCTGAGTTCTGATAAGACTTCAAACAACAAAGTTTGTGTTCCCTGGTTAAAAACCGACAGACTGGTAGATTACCTCCCTCCCTCCAAAATGAACTTTATTTGATGAAATCTCCACATATACCAATAAGCCAAGTAGGGGACAGAAGGGAACTGCTGAAGGCATTAAACTCCGTATCACTGAGCACACAAGGCATGTGTTCACACGCTGTCTGCTCTCCACAGCAGACACTGGTCCTACCAGGTAGAACGTGCCGACATGCCAACCTGCTCCAGGTAGGAAAGGGAAGTTTGGAATGACCAGCACTATTCACCTTACCAAAACCAAAAGACTAATATGGTCTCCTGGCACAAGTATGGCTAACAGGGCTTGCAGTTCACTCGTAAGTTGTTGAAAGGAAACACTTCTCAAGGGTCAAAAGAAGGAAGTTTTCTGTCATCCTGAAACTAAGGGCAATAGTTGTACCAAGAACCAAATAGAAAGTGCTACGACCAGGACTTAACTTCAAGTTGCACATCATCTCTGGAGACCAGAGTTCCAGGGAACAAAAGAAATTAAGGCAAATCAGAAAGGAGGTGGGCGGGGAAGTTCTCTTATTCTCCTGATAATTTCTCTGTGGGCCCTTGCTTATCCTGGGCTTCTCCTGAAAGAATAGGCATAGCATCCTCTCCTAAATCTGGGCCTGTCACCTGTGATGTGAGACGCTACTGATCTCAAGAGCCAAGCCCAGCTCCCTATGGGTGATAATCTGCCCCCAGCACCGCAAGCAGCACTGACCACCATCACAGACCGCAGGACTAAAGAAAATTCAGCATGGGAACTTCTAGAACCCTAAAACTGAATTCTTACCCCTTAAACCAGACCACCTCAGTTTACACTAAAAAAATGTAATAACAACAATAATCAAGATAACGCTAACAAACATCTACAATACAGATGCACTTTGATGAGGAGACTGGAAGAGGGCAAGAGGAAGGACAGCACAAATGAAAAAAAAAAAAGGAGCATGTCAAAGAGATGGAGTCAAGAGAAGACACAAGACAAAGGGGGAAGGAAAGAGAAGTGGGGAGACCTGCGCTCCAGAAAAGAAGGGACAGGTACACCACAGGCCCCATGGGGTCAACGCCAATCTGCACCACTCAGATGGCACAGGGGTAATTGTTGTTCACCTGGAGAAAAAAAATACACCTTCCACACAGGAGAAAATGACAGTACTGGTATCGTGTGGCAGCCTCTGTGGCTGTGGTGTGCACCAGGTGTCACAGGAAATGGGGCTGAGCAGGTCTTGGGCAGATGCGAACGACACAGCTCCCATCATTCACCCATACAAAGCAGCCTCTGTGGCTGTGGTGTGCACCAGGTGTCACAGGAAATGGGGCTGGCTGAGCAGGTCTTGGGCAGATGCGAACGACACAGCTCCCATCATTCACCCATACAAAGAGAAGCCCTTCCTGCATCCTTCCAAAAATTCCCATGACGGAGAAAGAAGGCAGAATCACACCACTAAAATGCACAGGTTTCACCTTGCTTTTTTAATACGGTCCTTGGTATATGCATTTCTGGTCAGAGAGCAAAGTTCTGATGGGTTTAATGGTGCACTCAATGCAGTGCTTGGCGCATTCCATCAATTTTTTTTTTTTAAAAATTGCATCTCTTATTTCTTTAAATACATTAATCAGCCTAGTGTAGGCAAAACGGATCCATCGGACAATGCAATAAACATGAATTATCATCTATCCAACACGCATAATGGCTTAAAAATACATAATAGCAGGTGTAGTTTAAATGATTAGTTATTACACCTGTGGTGGGTCTGATTCAATTGGGAAAAATCATCTTTAATAGGTTAAAAGGTTTAGATCACCATGCTTTCCTTAAAGTGGCTGCAGAGAGGGAGTGATGGAGTGCTCTGTCATTAGTAATTCATTTAAGAAGAACGTGGGGGATATAGCAAAGAACAGCATAAACGAGTGAATCCAATTTAAACATCAGGTAAAGTAGAAAACACCTTTTAAAAAAGCAAGATAAATGAATTTGGAAGGGAGATGAAATTGACGTATTTATTTTAACGGGAATTTGACAAAGTCCCGGCACACTTCAAACTTGCAAAAATATGAACAATTTCTTTTAAAGTTTCCATTCACTAATTTCAAGCCATATAAAATAATACTGCCAAATATCTACATAAAGTGTATTTGAGGCTGGTTTATGTTCCTCTTGATCTTTGTCTGAAAATGCAGGCGACAGGCAAATCACATATTTAACAGCATCGATATCACTACGCCAGATGCAAAAATATAAAGCACCCAAACTAACAGCCCCAGCATAATGTGCTGAATAAGAAAGACACCCAGGTAAGCAGCTACGCTGAGTGTGAACATATGAACCTTCTCTCCTCCTTTCACTAATTATTTCTCCGGCCACTCTTCACATCTCTCTCCCAAGACACAGGCACTTCGGAGGGGTGGGGGAGAAGGACTTGTCCAATCTAGCATTTTATAGCCCTATGATTCATACATTGATGGTAAAAGATTGCCCCAAACTCCTTACCCATAATGCAAAGCTCTTCACCCACTGAATTAGCTGACAAGGTCTCAGTTCAGGCCTTTCGCCCGCCCATTGTTGGACACTTTCATTAACTTCACAAAGCAATTCGGCTGACTTTCCCCTGCAGAGGTCCAACACACACCGCTTTTGTTGGAGTCAGTGATGGGGTGCCTGCAGTTGTCCTGTGTTATCGTTTGATTTTCTAATTAGAAGATGAATGTGACTATTCATGAATTCTATTTGTGCCCAACTAAATTACATAAATCAGGCCAAATCTTCCACCTCAATGGCAAAGATGTAAAACGGAAACAGGAACTTTATTGCACATGTTGTGGGAGTGCAGCAAGCCAGGGAAAATTCTGGCGCAAAGCTCCTGATGCCATCGTTGGGCCATGGGCTGTGGCGTCCACAGCAAATATGCCACTGGCTTTCCTCTCCTCCATTCTTATACTGACTTAGTTCTTATGAGCACACCTCAAATTAGCAGTAGCTAGTTTTATAAAAATAAAGATGAATTCAGAAGAAATCAGAAGCAAAGTTCCTCATCTCCTCCAAGTCTCCCAATGTGCAAAACAAAACCACCCTGCCACCACCAACTCTACAAGTTTAGGGACATTTACAGTTTCACTGCTTATCCCTTTGAAGCTAGAAGAGAATCCTCCCCTCTGTAGCCCTGTACAATGGTTACGCTGGACTCTCTGCCAACAAGTCAGGGAGAAAGTGGGGGGCTTCGGGTTGTAAAATACCTTTGGCTCCAAGGTGATTGGCCAACTGAGAGAGATTTGTGTTTGGGAGACCAGAATCCGTAACTGTATAAATCAACGGCATTCAGTACACTGAGGGGGTTATCTGCTATCAGCTAAGCGCTGTTAAATGCGTTGTATGGGGCTAGTAATCCCTGGTGGACGAATCCAGGCTCCTGACAGTCTTCACTGAAGAGAGGTTTCCTATGTGTTTTCCATTCTCCTACAAAAGACCCGCATGCTGTAATCTTCAGAGCACGCACTTTATTTTCTGCTTGAGGGGGACGGGAGAACAGAGCCTGCCTAATAACGAACCTGGGGTTTGAGGGAGCCTTAGCACTTTGCACCTGACATGTAAACCTGATGCATTGTCTCTGGTGACACTTATTTGGAATGCCACCAAATCCAGCACTCCTGAGTACTGCATACACATCTATCTCCTAAAATGAGAGCATTCATTAGCCATTTTAAAATATTAAAAATATTCAAAAATTAATGACAATAACAACCAAAGCCAAGCCCTTCTTAACACAGAGATGGTGACTAGAGGGCAGAGGGAAATGACCACCACACAGGCCTCAAACCCCACTCCAGTGCCACCCAACTCCTGCATACTGCTCAAAAGAGTCAATTGCCTATGAAAGGCTCCTCTGCTTCGGCTCTCAAGTAAAACCCAGAATCCCATTAACAAGCCTTAGATTAGACCAAAGCCAACTGAGTTTTCACAAGAGCTGACTTTGAAAGCCTGGCGGTGCTGAGAGAACCCTCTCAAAGCAGAAATGCTGCATTTTAGTAAGAAATCAGTACTATGTCAGGAGCTCCTTGACAAATATGGTCATCGGTGGCACAAGGAAATAGTTGCAGAGCAGCTGTTAATCAGAGGAACACATCAGAGAACGCTGATGCCAGCACTTGGGGAAAAATGCAACGGGCTAATTATGAAGCCGTATATCTCACTAAAGAGGCTGTGTTCCTTGAGACTCTAGCCGGAGCGCGTGCAGTTCCAGGGTCCTAGGACAACATAATTCTGGTTTTCTGCATCCAGACTCCTC